TTTGTAAATTAAATTTAAATTAAAAATAAAATTTAAAATTTGAAAATAATTTAAATTTAAAATTATCATATTATTTTGAGTGCAATTTCTTATAATTATGAGATTTGGGTCTTTTTTGCTCTTATGTGAGATTTAAAATTATTTTTTTTTTACTTAATTATGTAAGTTTTATGTATAATAGTATTTTATTTCCTTTGATTTTTTGTCACATATTTGAAATGATAACATTATTATTATGTTAATTTTATTAAAATTTAATAATAATATTATATATTATGTCAACCGATTTGACCTTAGTTCGACTGGTTGAAACGGCCAAATCTTGAACCTTTATTTATTCTGGTTCGCTGTACAGTCCAATTTTTCACAACCTTGTATACGAGCATATATGTAAAATAAATAGAAATATGAAACTTTAGATACATGACATCATCCCAAGCTCTTCCTCAAATCCCCCTCCTCCAATAACCACCACAAACATATTATCTGACCTTGTAACTCAGCCCCCCTCAACAACCCATCCATCCCTAACCTTAATTCCCACTCCGATTTATCTCTTGGGCAGCTAGAGGAGATGAGGGAGGAGATGCCCTCTTTCTCACTGGTTTCTATTACATATATCTCTAAGAATAAATTTATTGCTCTACAAAATTACGATTCTGACCAAGATTTGCTATCGTCTGATACTTCATCATTCTCTAATGGGAAGAAACATGATACCTCATCCAACAAAATCAATAATTTAGCTCAAACAAAATCCTCAAAAGGGAGAGGAAAAAAACCCTCAATTGTAAAAAATAAATGATCAATCCTACCATAGCAGCTTGGAATATCAGAGGATTCTCTTCACCTGATAAAGTCTTTTGCTGTAGGAGACTTGCCCTTTCTCTGCGGCTTGATATGTTATGCATCTTGGAAAATAGTATTCACCTATCAGCTTTGTCTGATTCTCTTTTCTTCAACAATCATTTGGTTTTTGAGCAGGAAGCTAGTTGTAACAACTTCCATTGCTCTAAATCAGGCAGAATTTGGATTAAGTGGTCTTAGGAAAGGTTGAACTTAAACCCTTCTTTTATCTACTCTCAGATGATCACTGGCATGTGTGTTTTTAGGTCTTCCAAGCCTTTTCAACTATCTGTCATCTATGCTTCCAACAGTATTGAGGAAAGAAAAGTTCTCTGGGAGGATATTAATTCTGTTTTTCCGATGGAGGATCTCCCATGGATTTTAATGAGGGATTTCAATAGCTGTAGATTTCCTTTCGATAAATTAGGGGGAAATGCCTTATTGCAAAGACAACTTCATGATTCAATGCTACTATCTTCAATATGAAGCTTAAAGATCTCGCTTATGTTGGTAATTCCTACACTTGGTTCAACCAAAGGCTGGACAATCATATTCATATCAAGCTAGATCGTATGTTGGTGAACGTTGATTGCTTATCTACCTATCCCAACACTCATTATGAGGTTAAAATCCCTTCTTGCTCAGACCATTGTCCAATTGTGCTTCAAGCAAGTGAAAGATCCTCTTCCCCCCATAGATTTCTGTATAAGAATTATTGGGCAAAAATTGATCAATTTTGTAATGCCTTGTTCTCCATCTTCTCTGCCAAGTGTAGTGGGCACCCTTTAGTAGATTTTTTCCATAAACTTAAACTTTTGAAGTTTTCTATCAAAGGGAATAATTGGGCCAATTCCAATTTATTAAGCATACATTTGGATATTCTTCAACAAAAGCAAGATGAATTACTTAAATTACTGAATAGGGACTGATGCAATACTGATATCTCTATTACTTTAAAAAAGATCAACAATCAACTTGTAGATGCCACTTCCAATTGGACTTCTTGGATTATGCAAAGGGCTAAAACGAAATGGTTATCTTATGGGGAGGATGATTGAAAGTTTCTTTTCTCCAAAATTCATATTAGGAGAAATTACAAGAAAATCGCTCTTTCCCTCATCACGTTGACCACCTCTTTGTCTTACAAGGATGCTGTTAAGACTACCATAAACCATTTTGAAACCCTTTACAACTCTCATTTTCATTAGCCTGTTGATATCAACATTTTTCCTTCAGGGAATTGTATTCAGCCAGACCTTATGGGTAACCTTACCATGCCTATTTCTAATCAAGAGATTAAAAAGGTAATCTTTTCAGGAGCTTCCTCTTTAGCTCCAGGGCCTGATAGTTTTAACTTTGATTTTTATAAGAGCACATGGCTTATCACTGGCCCTACTATTTGCAAAGCCATCAAGGCTTTTTTCCACAGTGCTTATATGCCTCGAGTGGTTAAAAATACTGCCATCACTCTTATCCCCAAGAACAGTCATGCTTTTTCTTTATCAAATTTCAGGCCCATATCGCTCTGTAACACTATTTACAAAATTATTGCAAAAATTTTATACTCCCGCCTCAAACCCCTTATGCCTGTCATTATTAAGGGGAATCAAACCGGGTTTATTCATAAAATAGACTCTATAGACAATATTATTCTCGCCAAAGAATTATTATATCATTCTAGAATCACTACCAAATACAGAAGCATGTGTGCTAAACTTGACATTAAAAAGACCTTTGACTCTATCTCTAGAGAATTGATATCTGCTAGACTTTTACAAAAGAGAATTCCCAGCCGATTTGTTCAATGGATCGAAGCTTGCATTAATTATGTCAATTTTTTCCCATGTATTGATGGTGCATTAGAGGGATACTTTCCTTCTTCGGTTGGTATTAGACAGAGCTGTCCTTTAAGTCCTTTGCTTTTCAGAGTGGTAATGGATGCTTTTTCTTGCTTGCTGGATGAACATTCTAGTTTTCAAGCTCCTCAGGTGGGAGACGCTTGCTTATCTCATCTCTTATATGCTGATGAACTTCTCATATTCGGTAAGGCAGAGGTTGACAATTGCAATATCCTGGTTAATCTTCTGGATACCTTTTCTGCTGCTACTGGCCTCTTCATTAACTATAACAAGAGTTCTATCATTCTCCCGCCCAATTGCCCCAATGCCAATGCCATGTGTACTATTCTTAAAATATCAAGTCCCTCTAAATGCATTAAGTATCTTGGCATCCCTATTTCAGCCTACAAATTGAATGTAGCTGATTTTGCGGGTTTGATGGAAGTTATTAACCACAAATTAGCAGGTTGGAAAGCTAAATGCCTGTCTTTTGTTGGGCGACTTCAATACCTTCGCTTTACAATTTGGAACACCATAGCCTACTGGATTAGAGGTTCAATTATACCCAAATCTATTCTGAAGCAAATTGATAAACTATGTGCTAAATTCCTCTACTTTGGTGATCCGTCCGGTAAGAAAATGCATTTGATCTCTTGGAAAAATACTTGTAAACCCAAACACCATGGGGGAATTGGTTTACCTTCTTTTCAAGCCCTTCATTTCAGCTATCAATGTGCTTTTATTATCAGGTTTATAACAATAACAATTTTTTATCTAAATGGCTTTTTTCCAACTACATATCACCGTGGAAACCTCCTACTTCCAAAGCCTCTCCTTTTTGGAAATCTTTGTGTAAACATGCAGCCATGGCAAGAAAAAAGTTAAATTTTAATGTTCATCATTCTTTTCCAATATCTCTTTATTGGGATTATTGGATTAATGGTAAACGGATTGAGGAGGTGTCTGAATTATCTCATCTGCAGGGGATTTTTCCCTTAAATGCCTATATTGATGTTTTACTAAAAGAGGAGGGATTGGTTTTTCCCTCTAACCTCCCCTCGCTGCCTCTGATATTCTGAATCTACTTCCGGAAGATGCTACGACCTGCTTATATTGGAATGGTGTTGGTAAAGCAAAGGGGCTTAACAAGTTTTTTAATTTATTTTATAGGCAGCTTCCCAAGGTTAATTGGCATCATTTAATTTGGCATAAAAAACACGCCTTACGTTTCTCCTCTTAAAGTTGGATGGCGATCATGAATGGTTTGAAAACGGCGGACAACCTCATTATTAGGGGATTTCAGTTAATCCGCAATGTGTTCTATGCAATTCTTGTGCTGAATCTTCCACCCATTTATTTTTGGAGTGCGAATTTTCTTTTGCCATCATTTCTAACTTGATACCTTCTCTCAAAAGTCATCTCCTCAGGCAAAATTTGTTTAAGGTTATGGATAGCTTATCTGCTGCTAATATTAAAGTTAGGCATTTTTATCTCTTTTTAGCTTGCAGTTCTGTTTATATGATTTGGAAAGAAAGAAATGGAAGGAAGTTTGGTAATTATCATTCTTCTATTATCACGGAGACTCATTTGATCCGTAAGGCTGTGTTTGTGAAAACCTCTAAATGGAGAAATTCTGGATTTCTTTCAAATCTATTGTAAATTCCGGTTTGGGAATTTTGAGGTGCACTTGGATAAATCTGGAACTGTTGGCTGCCTTTTGTTGACATTATGCTGTGGTATCATTTCAGAGATTGGAAACTGTTGGCTATGCAAGAATAGTATATTGCCCTGCTCTTATCCGTTTGGCTTGGTGATTCGATATTATCGGGCTATAATGTACGAATTTCCTCCCCTCTCCTTGGACGGCAGAGTTTTTTGACCCTAATTCTTTGCATATACTACTATCTCTGCAACCAGGGGTGCCTTATTGCTATTTTGCCGGCAATTCATTTTGAGTGAGCCCGTTACTCCTTTGGATATAACTGTTAAGCCCTTTTCATTTGCTCCTAAGGTGTTTTGTTTGTGTATATGGGTACACTTTGTTTGCCTTTTTAGCAGCCTTTTGGTCATCTTATTGTTTTTAGATTAGTCCTTTGTTCCTTTCTTACACATATAATTAATTTCATTTTAATGAAAATGGGCAATGCTCACAATTTCCCAAAAAAAAAAAAATTTTTTTTTTAATACATTAATTTATTATTATACTTTATAGGCTAAAAATTTGAAAGACGTGACATGTTCCGAGAAGTGTAGTTCCACAATTAGGCAATACCTATCGGTCGGAATTTTCGGTCTCTCCGGTTCTATTTAAATTTTCCGAGAAATGGAAGGAGTGGCTTGCACTTCGGCACGGCAGCGCTCGACACGCGCAAGAGACTTCGTCAAAATTCCTACGAAAATAATCCTCCCGCTATCTGGCAATCCTATGTACAGTCGCCTGCCGCTCGCCGTTGTATCTTGCGCATGTTATTGCAAGCCTACAACCCCTCGTCTTCTGTCTTTCTCCTCCTGTCGGCTTACCGAGGTATCTCCTCCTTCCTCTTTCATACTATTTCTCTGCCTTGTCTAAATGCTTCTTTCTCGCGCTCTTCAGCACCACCAGTAACCATAAATCTCCCGTTATATTTTTCTTCTTCCATTTCATTGCCGAAAGGAAGACCATTTTCGTTCAAGATAATTGAAATGGAGAAGCGGAAGGGATGGACAAAGAAAACTTTTTTTTTTTTTTGAGTTTCACATGTTTTTCCAAATCTGATCTGACTGTTTACTTTTGTCCAATAAATGTGGTAGTTTTATAATCTCCCTCTGCTTTTGAAGCTCGTCCATTATTTTCTAATAAAATCTTGAGTTTATGCGCATCGTTCTGAAGGCTGCAATCTCGATTATTCTGAGTCTCAACACCACTGGAATGAATGGAGAAAATAGAAAAATGGTAGAGAGAAAAAACTTTTTTTGTTTGAAAATTTTCTTTAATCCCAATTCTGATCTGAAATTTGCCTTTTCTTTAATAGATATATCGTTGTTTTAGATTTTCCGCATGCTTCTGAAACTATTTTAGATTTTTTTTTTTGGATAAATTTGTGATCTTTTGGGCATCTTTCTGAAGGCAGAAGGCCAGCTTCTCTTTAGTTTTTAACAACATTAGAATGGAAGGAATGAAAGAGGAGGAGGTAGGTCTTTTTTTTTATTTTGAGCTTCATTAGTAATCCCTATTCTGATTTGAACTTTGCCCTTTGTCCATTTAATGTACAGCGGCTTAGATTTTCAACATCCTTCTGTAACCTTTTCAGTTTTTCTGATAAATTTGTGTTTTTATTCGGCATCGTGTAGAATTCAGCAGGTTAGATTTTTCTGAGATCTCAACACCATTTGTCTTTTTTTTTCCCCTTCTATTTACAGGTTAAACTCGCAAGCAGACATGATGAGTAAGGTGCACTCGGGGAGCCTGGAAAGGTTGAGCAAGCCCGGTAAATATAATCAACAAGACTGCAATTTGTTCTTTTTTTTTTTTTAATAGTCTGGCTTTTTAAATTTGTTCTTAAATGCAATCATAAGATGGTTACCTGAGTTATCAATTATAATAAGAACTTAGTTTTAGAGAATTTTATATATTGATGTATGGTCCTTAATGAGGGTTTTGGTCAGAAGGATAGGCTGAAAAGATTAATTTTTCCTGTCGACCTCAATTTATGTGTCCAACGCCTTTTCTTTTGGAAATTTGAATGCAACGCACAACTTCGTTAATAAGATGTTACATTGAGTTATACATTAAGGTCAAAAGAACTGTCTAGTAAAAAAAAGATAACTAGCAATAAAAGAAATAAAAAAATTTACATTTGTAAGATGACAAAAAAGCAAATAAAAAAATGTAAGACAACAAAAAATAGGTAGCAATATGGCAGAAGGGTTGCTGTCAATGCCACACTACTATAAAATCTTCGCAAATATAATAGCACCTCAAAATAGGAGAGACTAATTTAAAATGCAACATCACAATAAAAGGCGCTCAAGAAAAGTACAAGTTTGGAATTATAATTGGTAAATTTGGAATATTATTCTACCTTTAACTTTTTAAGCGAATTCATGGGCCTTGGAAATTCTGTCACTTCTCTCAACCCAAAGATAGTGTGTTGTATTATGAGTAGCCAGTAAAATGAACCTTGAGGTAATGCTAAAACTAAAATCCTCCGCATGTTGAAGAACTTGAATAAAGTTGCATCCTAAATGAAAAAATTCCATTCAGCACACACTATTTATGAATTTGGAATGAATATGGACATTCAAAGAATTACTATGTTAAAGATTCAATGTTGCTTTAGTAGAAAAATACAATTTTGATATAAATGAATTCTTTTTAGTGCTTGAATGTCTTTAGTTTTGAGCCCATTAGTAAGGAGTCTTTAGGAAAACATGGCATATTTAACGGCGCAACCTTTAAACCAAATCAATTTTCTCAAACTAGCCTTAAAATCATTAAAAAATAGTTGAGAGAAAGTTGTTTTATAAGATAAGGTTGGCTTCTCTAGCCAGCTGCTAGGATAACCACCAGAAGTAATGACAATCTTAAGAAAATGACGTAAGCAACTTTGGTAAATATGATTAGAGGAATTGGAGAAACCCCAATTATTGTTTTGAATAAACTAGTTAATTTTAGCTGTAATATCACAATTTAAATATGTCATAACTTTAGTACTAAATATATCAATAAGAGTTTTGCCTTGTAGCTAGGGGTCATAAAAGAATGAATGGTTGCTATTGTCATTAACATTTATGATAATCCAAACCTTGTTTTGCTTGCAGCCTCACAAATGGATGTGCATAAATAAGTAGCATGTCTTCTGGATTTATTTCAGTTAGGATCATAATAACCAAAACATTAAGAAGTAAGAATTGTTTGTTGTTGTATAGCTTACAAATAAGTTTGCATTTGCTCAAGAAATGGAGATTACCAATGTAGGAATTTTGCGATCACCATAAGAAATAGGTTTAGTAGTGTTGCCCAAAAAGTAATTCTCAACTTCTTGTATTCTCCATTGTTATGCAAGAAATGCTTATATAACTTGAGATTTTCTTTTTAACGCCTTTGGGGAGAGTATTGGACCTAAACCAATAAAAGGAGATAGTTCTAAATACAGGATCTTACCAATTGGAACTAGCCAACAAAAGAGAGCAATCTTTGTTTCCAGCCACTCAGCCAATTATCGAGTTTGCCTAATTTTTTAGAAGAATCATTTGCATTAAGTTTGGTGTTAGTAAAAAAAAAAAGTTTGGTGTTAGAAATAGTGACATCAAAATAATCCCATGGGACGTTCTTTGGTTGGAATCCAGGGATGTTGCAAATTTTATCAGCAGAATTTATGTCCACTTCTTTGGAGTAGCAGATATCTAACTTGATAATGTTAGTATGAAGCTCAGTAGAATTTTTAAAGTTATCTAGAATTTTGAGTGAACAATTCACAGTAGTAGGTTCAGTTTTGCCAAAGTCAATCAAATCATCAAATTCTATAAGATGATAAATAGAAGAGCTCCTCATGTAACTTTTAAAGATATGCATCTCAGAATATTTATTTAGTAGTTTAGAGAAGCTATCCATAAAGAGGGTAAAGAGAAATGATGATGAAGGGCATCCTTGGTGCAAACCATCTGAAGAGAGAAAATAACCTTTGAGTTCACAATTAAAAAAAAATAGATACATAAACATTTGAGGGAAAAGACATGATCCGATCAATGAATTACAAGGAAAAACCATATCTATATAGTCTTTCATAAAGAAACAATTATCAAATAACCTTTTTATGTCAATTTTAACATATAAATACTTAAGAGTAGTTTTTGAACTGAAATTATGGAGTGGATCATTTACAATGATGATATTGTCTGCAATGTCTCTATCTTGAATAAATGTAGAATAAGCAGGACGAATAAGTTGGTGAAAGGGGGGTTTTGACCTGCTAGTAAGAAGTATCTTATAATTAGTATTACAAAGGGAGATGAGTTTGTTATCAGTTAAGGTTTTAATTTGAGAGGTTTTCAGGATTAAGATGTAGCGGAATGCTTGATCCTCTTTGGTAAAGTAGCAGTTACAAAGAAGCAGGAAATCGCCTCAGTAAAAGAACTGACAATAACCTCCCATGTACCATTAAAGAATTTAGAAGAAAGTTCATTGGGCTATGTTGTTTCGTGAGGCCCAATACTAAATCAGGTAGGCTTGATCTAATCAGTTTTTATTGAAATTTAATTAGAGTAGTCGGCCTCCTTGTCACTATCCTTATTAAGAAAATAAGTAAAATGAACCCAAAAAACATTTGCAATATCATTCCGAGACCAGAGTTGGCTGGCATTGTTAATGTGATTCTTTTAGCCAGGCATTTAGTTTTTCGATTAAGGAATTTCAAGTCATTTGCCTCTTTCTTGAGCCAAGAGCATTTGGCTCTTTGTTTGATCCATCTATTTTCATAATTTGTAAAATCAGCAATAGCACTTTTGATTAATGAGAGCATCATTGAGAACGTAGTTCAATGGTTGGCTCTCAAGTTCCTAGAAATTTTCCTTTTGCTTTTCCTTAAGAATTGTTTTCACATTGGATAAATAAAAGGAGTTCCAGTTTGTAGCTTTAAGCTTAAGCATAACATTGTATAATCTAGTGAAAAAGGCAAAAAGAGGATTCTCCTAAGTAGGAATATTTCAGGCTTCATGAACGATATCCATAAAATATGGACAACATTTTCAAATAATTCTTAAATATAGTTCCCTTTCTAAGTGGTTGAGGATATCTAAGATATATCATAATAGGGGGTGGTCATAGGATAGAGGAGCAAGATTCTTATAGTGAGATAATGGGCATTGATTTAGCTGTTGAGTATTGCAAAAGGCTCTATCAAATAAGCATCTGATTGGTTTATTAAGATGTTGATTATACCAGCTAAAAGAAATACGGACATTTGAGATCTTCAAAAGACTAGAGTTAAATATATAAGTATTGAAATCAATGTGTTTGGAAGGAGTGTACACCCCTAATTGACTTCTCAAGTGTTTTCATAGGTAGGTAGTGATGGGTCTTGACAAGAACATTCCTTATCAGGAGCATATGTTCGAGGAACTTACCCGTGACCCTTAGAGAAAATTGATCAAGAAGAGGGTGTCACTTGTATGCATCCACCCTGGAGCTTGCCCTATTCTAGGCGACTAGGAGGTTTCCTGCTAGCAAGCGGATCACCACTCATTTCAGTCAAGCTCTTACTTTTTGAGCTCGCCGAACTTATTTGCAGAAAGCATCTATCTCAGTGACCCTTTGCTCATTCAACTACAACACCTACCAGATTTTCTTCATCATTCTAGCTAATACCTCAGATTGGCTTCCTCAATAGGGCGAAGTTGAGCCTCTTGAGTCACTCGTCGACCTCACGAGAAGACTCACCAATTACAAAATCACTTTCTCTCAAGACTTGGCATACTCACCCCCTCTTGAGCTCGCTCAATGACAGGCAGTTCACTAGGTCGTTGGCTTCATCCTTTTACAACCAATCAAGAGTCAGTTGCATGTTTTAATAGCATCTAGCATTGTATGTGTTTTTTTGTGCAGTCCATATTTTTATTTATTTTTTTTGTGTAGCATTTCTTATATTCCTCAGAACCCTATAAATAAGGGGTCATGAGGAATAATTTCATATAGCCCTCTACAACCATTAAATAAGGGGTGAGGAGGAACAAGTTGTGGGATTTTTTGGGATCTTTTGATCTTCTGATCTCTGAGTTTTTTTTTATAGTTTGGATTTAGATAATGAAAATTTTGCTAGACTATTTTCCTTTATTATCTATTCTTTTTTCTCCATTCTCACTAACAGGTTCTCAATCTTATCAGCCAGATATTCTAGTGAAGTCTGACATCTTCCACCAAACAAGTTTGAATTTAACATCCTCTTAAGGTGTGGTGAGCATTGATTTGATGCTAAGGATTAGAAGATAAAATTTTCTTGATGAATGACCATAGTAGGAACTTGGACAACGTGAAGTATTAAGCTTGTTGGGATTTCTAGAAGATGGAGCGACTTATAAAGCTAATCAATAATGCCTTGGGTGGCCATGCAAGAAGGGAACAAGTTGAAAATGTGTCCGAAAAATCATTTCATTTGGCAACTCACCATAGTCGCGCATAGAGGGAACTCACCTCTACACTTGCCTCTGACCACACGCACTTGGATGAGTGATAAAGAGTATAACCCGCTGATTAGGCGAGCTAAGAGGAAAGAACCAAAGTTGACCAATGTCTTCTCAAGGGCAAACGCCGAGGCATGGCTGCTTCCCAAGTTCAGAGTGCCTCACTTGGCATTCTATGGAAACAAAATAGATCCCACTGATCACGTGGTGACTTTCGAGTCTATGAACTTTTTGTTGGACATAGATGGCACTCTTAAGTGTCATATCTTTTTCACGACACTCAAATGGTCGGCGCTTAGGTGGTTTACTC